AGAGTGCAAATCGTCAGAAAATTTAACGCCTTCACTGGAAACTTCCTCATGCTGAATTAAAAAGCCACGCAAGTCCACCTGCAGTTACGCCCAATATCTTCGTGAGTTAACGTGGCCTTCCATGAATTACTTGATATCCTATAAAATAAGCTGACATATATTATCGTAACAACAGAGATAACATATTGTAACGTGGAATTTGCAGCGTTTATTTAATAACTACAGATAATTTTCGTAAAATGTCATATTGTCTATCATATAACTGTTACACTGACATAATCAATACCGAAGATGTGTGCGTCCTTTGACAACACCACTAGAATACTGTAGCGTAAACATATTCAGAACATACAATTTTGTTGCATGCATAAATGTTATTACCATGTAAATTGCTATTGAAATGACCGGTTTATTGTGATAATGATATATTCTTTGCCTGAAATACGTTGAATCTGTATATGTATGTTTGCGCTAACGGAAGGAGGCCTACATGGCAGGAGTTCTGTCACGTAGCAGCTTCTAGAATTGTTAATGAAGATAAGAGCCATAGAATTAGTACTTAGCGTGGCTGATGTTTTTCACTGATGTAAGTTGAAGGACGTGGGGAAGAAATAAAGGAGCAGGGAGTGAGATAAAGGTACGAAAGTGATGAAGGGAAGGAAGAAAGGTAGTAAGGGATGAAGATGCGAAATATTTTGAATTGTTCCGCTTTTAATTTCAAAAGGGAGTGAAAGTGGGTCTATAATTCCAAATTTGGACATTTTAACTTTTTCCGCTTTCGAAGACTGGATTTGTACTTTAGTTACTGGAAGATAAAGTTTCATGAAGTCACTTTTTACCCCAGAAAGTCGAATTCTTTCAACAAAATTGCAGTAATCTGAAAGCAAATGTTTTGTTTTTTTGTTTCGACAAAGATAAACTGCTTATGGTGTAGTAGACAGATGCTTTTTGTTTTATTGTGAAACGCCTCTGTAATGATCATAACGGAATGAGTCACCGGGAGTTGCGTCATTGCTAACAAGTGTCAGCCTACTTAAAATATGCATTTTACAGTCTCCTTTGTTTCTCATTGTTTATGCGAGATATTTATGTACGTGGAACAGATAAGTTCCATTTACAATGTTTGGTAAACTTTGTTAATAAATGTTGATTTATATGACTCTGTAAATGAGCAACGCAATCCATGTTAATGAATAGTTTTAATGAAAAAATGCTAAAAATTTCATTTCAGTGGAATCAGCATGTATGTAAGGGAATGGGGAGGGAGATAGAAGTTTACCAACGTTTCAGAGGTCCTTGCTACCTCAATCATCAGGGCGATGAGATTTGAACCGTCTAATGTTTGTATTTCCTGAACTTTTCAGTTCTCTTTGTAATTATGCAGAATTAATATTTAGAAATTCTTGTTATGTTTCAATTGTGTGTTTCTGTAACTGAGAATTCAATTTGTTCGATTTAATTTTCCATAATTTCCTAAACCACCCATTTTAGCAAATAAGAATGAAGTTCTTCACACAACATTGATTATATCAATCCTGACTGCATCACACAAATACTTTTTAGCAAGTGGAAGTCATTTGTAGTCCTCCATTTATCAGCATGAAAGACTAAATTTTCAGGTAGTCCAGATCCAGTGCCAAACCACGAAATATTTTCTTTGATAAATATAAAAGTTTGCTTTAGTTCTAGATTATAACATCTTTTGCCATTTTCCCCTCAGAAAATAAATGATGTTCTTGTGCTCTGTGAAAGACTTCCTACATTCTGGGTCCTCCCACAATCCGTCACTGAATACAACCATATTGTTCCAGCGTCTTCTATTTTGAATCACGTTTCTTATGTCAGAAAACAAACATGTACTTTTATCACTGTTTGTAGCTCTTATTCCGTCCAGTAAATTGAATTACTCAGAATTTAAACTTTAAATATTTATTTGTGATTTATTTAACGTTATCAGTAGTTCAGTTCTCAGAAGCTTCGAATGATAGGTAGATTAGAAAATAACACAGAGGTAAGCGGTCGTGACCTACCAAGGTACTGTCCCGGAATTTGCTTGGAGCGACTAAGGAAAACGACGAAAGTCCTTAATCAGAATATCATATATCCGGGCCAAGATTTGAACCCGGGACTTTTCAGAATACGAAGCAGGATCCTTAAACCGTCAACTTAAATGAACAGTAGCATTGCAGCATCCAAAAATGTTGCTATTTTGGGAAGTTCAGTACAGTTTAATTTTTTTTGCACCTAATTTGCAATGAAACAGGACACGTGTTTTGGTACGAAGATTGTGTTAATGATTCATTCTTTCTCGCGTCACTTCTTCGTTTGCTTGTTTTATCCCATAGCGTGTTCTTGCTGTCTGCCGTCCATATGTCTTCATTAATGTTTGTGGTCTTCTTCTCAGTGGTGACATATTAAGGCTTCTAAATTGTTTATGTCTGAGTGCGATTTGGAGGATCAATGCAGCTATGTAATTCTCTGTCTTCCCCCTTTCAGATGCAAACAAATTTTGCTGTAATGAAATTTCGTCTGTTGGTTTATGCTCGTACAAAAACGAAAATGTCATTATGTCATTCCTCGAGAGCAAGTCTTTATCGCTTTACCTAGACAAAGAATTCAACAGCAGACAATCGCATTGGACATGACCGCTTGAAGCGACATTCTTGTGGCGCGACGAGAAAGGTGGTGGAATGTTGTAATGTTTTGACCTCGCAGAAGTTAATTTTGCTTGTGTTTTTCATAACAAAAGATATTTTGTTCATATTATTGCTCTGTGTGTGTATACATACATGTGTTTTTTCTTTTTCTGTTCATCAATTTTAATCGCTGTCAATGTTTTCCTGTCTGTACGTCTGTAATAACTCGAGAGCGCCTGAACGGATTTTTATTAAAGTGGTGTTGGGGAGCTTTCTTAAAATGTGCCGACAGATTCCAATTTTGGTTAGCATTGTTACTTACGCTGAAGGTCAAATATTACTCACTGCATACACATCCTAACTTGTTCCTCAATCTTTCTCTCCGTTGCTTTGTATCTTGAAGTAATTTATTGTCTCTGTTTTTTCTCATTCTTTCTTCGTCTCTCTCACAGTCTTCCTTTCTCTGTTTATGAGTGGCTTTTTTAAAGTACAAATAAGCTTATCTGTGCCATGACACGTGTATAAAGAAATGCATCAGTCATTATCATACCCGACAGGAAAAAGTAATTTGAGTCTTCTTTGTTATTGTCTGACTTGAAAAGTCGTTTGATTTCGTAATTGTCCTGTTGCTGTAAGGACAACGACATAAGCGAATGCAGTCCCTGCCAACCGCATGTAGCTTTACGTGAACCAGTAGGAACAGGTGAAACAAGAAGTACATACGGAATTGTGGTGGTGAACACATTGATGAGAGGACGGATAATACGATCTGGATGAAGGTGGATTTTAGGTAGATGTGTTGTGACGTGGATTGGACTGCCTAAGGACCGTGTCCGATGACGGGTTTTGATATTAGCTAATTTTACTTACTGCCCATTTAAATCCACGTTTATTTTGTTAGAGTTTGTGCGAATGTATGGTTCGTATTAGAATTGGTGTATAGCTTTTGCTCTGTAGTCTCTGCTTTACGTCGTTTCTATTGATTACAGTGAAACCAAGTGGAGCAGGCGCATTTACGCGGAAAGTCAGCAGCTGAAGTTTTGTGTACAATCATTACTAGATGGGCTCTGTGGACGAGCAAAATTTCAGTTGAGGTTTCGTCCTGACCAACCGGACCATTCCCTTGTTAGCACAGCTCACGGGGGAGGAGACGATAGTAGCAAAGGGCTGCAAACTTCTGCTGGATACGTTCCAGTTTGTTTTCATCAGTAGTCGTAATAGAATTCCAAGCGACCGATGCGTACTCGAGCTTGGATCTAACTAAGGCTGCATATAAGACAGACAGACAGTCGAGAGAAGAGAACGAAAGGTTAATGTGCGAACTAGACCCAGCAACTTAATACACTGTGAAAATGTGTGGTCAACATGGTTGTGAAATCGAAGCTTAGAGTCGGTTAATATCCCCAGGTCTTTAATAGCGTCGATGCGTGGTACAGGGGACTGAAAAGTATATAATCGAAGATCAAAGTAGTAGTTTTTCTGCAGAAGGAAATTACTATAGTTTTACTAATACAGTATTTTCCGATTAATTGGGCCATCGGTTAATCGGGACAAAGTGTTCTAGCCCCGATGTGTCTCAATTAACCGGTATCCACTCTATTGAGTTTCACGAGGAGATTCTGTGGCACGAAAGATATTAATTACACTGCGTATGTCGTCAATAAATAAGCTGAACAGCAGATTACCAAAAAACAGATCCCTGTGGAACGCCAGAAAGCACTACAAAGGGAGATGGAAAAGTTACAGAAACACGAACCAGAGATTCTCTGTTGGTTAAGTGACTACGAAACCAGTTTACATAACCATCAGAAAGTCCGAGCTTTTTCAGTTGTATAGTATGTGGGACAAGATGAAAATAATGGCACCAGCTTGACCATGGGAGCCAACTATTGGGGTAATAAAGTCTAGATAAGTTAATAATAAAAAGGAACCATACCCTCTTCTTAAAAGTAAGAGACCTAAATGTCCACTGGCAATAAACAATTTAATCAAAAATATCACAAATTTCTTAATAGTTCTTGTATAAGATAAGTAGGTACTTGGGTTATTCTGAAAGGTTTTTAACAGGACATGTCTCGTAAAATTTGAGGTTTTCACATCGGTGAGTATGAAGATTTCTGGCTTCTGGGTTGTTGCGCATCGACCAGAGTACACGGCGCAACACCCCAGAAGCCAGAAATCTTCAGTTCAGCACATATCTCGTCTACCACGCAGTACTTTTACAAGCTGTTCTTCCAACCAACCAACCAACCAAAAAAGCTAACTGAGGGCGGAGGCCTGCGCAAGCGCAAGCATCGTCCCTACCTAGGTGAAACCATTCCTGTGCACAAGGCGCATTGCTGGAAATGGTGAACGGTCTTAATATAAAAAACGGAAATTTTGCTAACGCTAACGGGGTTTCGTCGTGGCGGGAGCCTCGACCATTCAAACTGGGATCTGTTGCTGCTGATGGGAGGTTATCCCGTCAGGCAAGTTGTCCAAA